GCTGCTCCATGTGAAAGCACGCACGTGATGGAGATTTACCGCTGATTACAGAACTGGCTTTACTGACAAGTAAAGTAAATGTACTTCTTGAACACAAATTAACATATTTTTAGGGCTGCCCCCTAATAGTCGACCAAAATGTTATTAGTCGCAGAAAAAAAAAAACCCACAGGCAAAGTCATGCAGTCTGTGACTAACAGATCATTAACAGCTAGTCTATGGTAGGCTAATACAGTACATCGGGCAGGACATCCAAACTCTCGACTATCATTCATCAACCTCAAATATGGCTTATCATCTGAAATATGTAAGTATTAGCAACTTTACATGTCCGCTCAATCTAATGTTAACCTAGAGAAATGTGCGACCACACACACACACACACACACACACACACACACACACACACACACACACACACACACACACAGTGAGAAACAGCTTGTCTTGAAAGGAGGAAAACACAATAGCACATTAGCATGAGAAGCCAGTGCCGAGCCCAGCTTGTGTGTGATGTGTGACAGAAACAAAAAGCACACACACACACAGGTTTGCAACTGTAACCAAACATAATTACGCACATGCCATATAAGATTAATAGGATTTTTATAATTATTTTATTCAGCAAGGTTGCATAAATTGATCAAAATCGACATGAAATATTTATTTTAAATAAGCGCTGCAAACTCCTACTACTCAAAAAACCGTGAAAAAAAAAAGTATCATGTTTTCAACAAAACATATTTGGCAGCACAACTGTTTTCAACACCAAAGATAGTAAGAAATGTTTCTTGAGCAGTAAATCAGTATATTAGAATGAAAACTCTCGACTATCATTCATCAACCTCAAATATGGCTTATCATCTGAAATATGTAAGTATTAGCAACTTTACATGTCCGCTCAATCTAATGTTAACCTAGAGAAATGTGCGCTGTTCAAGTGTGTGTGGAGTGTATAAGCGCGCTCACTGCAGGACAGATGGAGGCACCGGTGCACTCACTTGCTCTTAAAATACTGGTCATTTTTGCTCATACAGATAAGAGTAATACATCTTTCTAAAATCTGTAAAGACTACGCTTATTTGTGTGCTCTCACAATAAAAACAAATCGCGCTTTTGTGAAATAATGAAAGCAAACAGGATGCGCTTTCTGCCGTCTCGGTCTCTGTGAACTTGAGCGCGAAACTCTGTGTTATACCTTTGCCTTACCGACATTAAAAATATATCTATATAGAGTGAAATGTCTACTTTCAAATGAACCAATTCAAATGGAAAACAAATATTCTCAGATTATGTAATCCGTATGAAACCTTCATACAGGCGCATCATTACTGCAGAGATGACGAGTCAGTGTCGCTGACGTCATCTCTTAAACTGAGAACAAAGAAAGCACTAGTTTATCAAAATATTAAAATGTTAATGCAGCCTCCTTACTGTTTTTCCCTGACACATTAATAATCACTACTTCTGCCGGTACGCTGTGGCAAGATGTATGCATGTGCTTGAGCACTTATTAGGCTATGTAGGCAATTAAAGGCTCATTTAGGGAGGGATGTTCATTTCGGTTATTTTTCCTAACCGACGCTCGTTAACCGATTATTAACCGTTAACCGACAAGATTATTTTAAATTCGAATTTAATTAAATTAGAAAGGATACGTGTCTGTGACCCATTCAAAAATACTAACATTTGTTTCACAGGGATTAATTTTGCATGCGCAAAAAGCAGCAAACAACAGAACATGAGGATTCACATGGCCATCATATCACATCACAATAGCCTAGCTATGTTTACAGTGTTTATTATAATGTTTGTAAACATTTTGTGTCGGCATTAGGCCTATTTCTGAATGAAATAATAAAATGCAACATGTTTTTTTTTTTATCTAAAAAAAGCCTTTTTTTTTTATACGCGTAGCATATTTCAACCATGCAGCAAACCTTTTTAAATATTTTGATAAATTACTACAAAAAAAAAAAACTTTTTAAACCGTTTATCTGATTTTATTAATCGGTCAAAATTCTTCACGGTCGGTTAACGGTTAACC